GCTCTAGTGGAAGCGGATCCAGCCGTATCCACGAGGGAACTTGCTATCAGGATGAAAGTTGACCATACAACGATATTGAGACACCAAATTGTACTCCCATCGCTTGTGAATCGGCATGGCCCGCTACTGCTCCATGACAACGCTCGGCCGCACACATCGCACAAAACAATTGCGAAACTGAACGAACTGGAATATGAAGTTTTGCAGCATCCACCATATTCACCGGATCTCTCGCCGACCGATTTTCATTTTTTCAAGCATTTAGAGCTGTTTTTAAGAGGCAAACACCATGAAAATGAAGACAGTCTAAAAAACTCGATATCAGAGTTTATTAATTCTAAAGACCAAAATTTTTTTAAGACAGGCATCTACGCTTTAAAATCTCGTTGGGAGAAGTGTATTGAAGCGAATGGAGCATACTTTGATTGAATAAACAGCTTTTGAAGAAAGATATACAGTTTTATACAATCACTTAAGAATCCGACATTTCATATGCACCAACCTAATAATTTCGGGTGTCGGAAATCATACGCATATACATGCCCATGCACACAGCTCTTCTTTCTATTACGTCGCGTTTCAATATTAAATGTTACTGTTTCTTCGGATTTTTAACATCATAAGAAAAGGATCATTTTTAATAAACGCGATAAACATAAGTGACATTGTATAAGCTAATCTATTTATAAATTTACTTATCTTACGCGTCGCGTTTATTACGAAATAACGCATTCGCTTACCCTTTCACTCACGCTTTGATAATCATTCATTTTCATTTCTGAACATCTTCGAGGTCTAATACGGATTATACGGACATTATCAATGATGTACGGACGACGGTTTGGGACGCATTGACGCGCGGATCGCCGATACGTAGGCGTCGCGCGCTATTACACATGCGCGAACTCAAAGTACAAACGGGGAAAGATAACGATGCCGTTATTTCGCCATTAAGGGAAATGAGCCATTTCGATAGAATTCCAGTAATTTGCGGGGGTATCGCTTCATTTCGTCAATAGAAGGGACGCTACAATGACCCTCAGATCGTGTAGAGCGAGCAAGCGCTATACTCTCTCTCTCTCTCTCTCTCTTCAACATCAAGAAATAATGTTATTATCGTTTTCACCGTTTCTCTACGACGCGATCGTTACTTACGGTGCGTTCGAGGAAATACGAACAATGAATAATGCAGATTTAAAAGAAGTGGCAAGGTCCACCGCCGGACGATTCGGCTGCAAACGTACGCCGATCGTCCAGCTGAAATGGGCCTGCTCTGGAATCGATACTATAGAGTGAATCGAATATTTCTATCGCCGATTGGCCTGTGGCCACACGGACATCGTAAGCTGAAGCCAATTCAGGCGATGGTCTCCGTCGTTATCCTGGTGTCCTCCGTGGTTACGCAGGTAACAGCACGGCCGGGAACTGAATTCCATAAAAAGGGCCGCTCTTCGTCGACTTAAATATTTATTTACCGCCTTTTAACCGTCACAATATGAGATTAAATGAGACATTGTCGACGTGACCGTAAAGAAGACATGATTACAAAAATATACATGAAATGTTTCTTTTCAGTTATTAAAGCTTTTCACCACAGAATACGATATCGACTTTGTCCTCACCAATCTCGCGCTCGCCGTACCGTCAATGATTTATATCGTCAAGTACCAAACATTTTACTCACAAGCGAATCGAGTAAGATAAATTTCTTATACCAAGCGTTTAATTGCACAAGTGCACACAAATGTATTGTTTTATTGTTTTATTAAAATACGCAATAATGCCATGTAACTTGAAAAGATAGCGCAATCTATCTCGTGTTGTTTTTCTCTTATTAATTTAAAACCATAGTTGATCAAACTGATGGAACTAATTCAAGATGACTGGAACTCGCTAACGGGTGAGGAGGAAATTCACATTCTTCAAAAATATACGGATGTGGCAAGAAAATTCGTCATTGTGTTTACGTGTAAGAAAACGGAATTGACATTGTCTGCGCGATGAATATCCGATTTATCGTGTTATATATTAGGAACGCAGAAATTAATCTGTTTAACTGTCTTTCTCTTTCAGTCATACTTTGCTCGGTGATAATCTGCTTCATCTTACTTTGTTTTCTACCGAATATTCTCGACTTTGTAGCACCGTTAAACGAGTCCCGTTCACGGAAGCTTCCGTTCTTAGCGGAATACTTTGTAGACCAGCAGAAATACTTTAATTCCATTCTAACGCACATGATTGTGGCCGTCGTTGTTGATACATTCGTATTTGTGGGAACGGAAACTATATCATTCGTGCATGTATATCATATGCTCGGCATGTTCAAGATTGTTAGGTAAAATCGAAAAATTCAGAAATATAACTAAATGCAATATTATTAATACATTCGTTATTGCACAGAAAAAAATTAGCTCCCATCGCTAAATACTAGTTATCTATTTAATACCGCTGAAATTCAGTTACCAGGCCTGGTTCTTAACTATGGGGGCTAATCCTTTTTTCCTGTGTAGGTTTTATTTTGGAGAACTCCATAAATCACCTCGTATTATTTTTGTTTACCTAATTGTGTAAAATATATTTAGTTTGATCACGTAAGCATAAAAAAAGAATTCTTATGCATGTCTGATCTACACAATAAATAACTAATTTTTAAATAAAATTTTTACATTTTCCTTGTGTAATCAGAGAGAACATAATAATAGTGAAATATACTGAAATATACTGAAAATACATATTCCAGTGCTTTTTACATACTTTCCACTCTAGTACAGCGGATTTGATTTTTGTCCCAGTTATCGGGTGAAACACGCGTTCGACGAAAACACTGATCTGACTTCAAGAATAGAATGGAATATCGTACATGCGCGAATAATCGCCGCCATTGAAGTTCATCAAAGAGCCATTCGGTTAAGTTCATAGAAGAATAATTATCGTTGTATTCAAAAGCGCGAGTTGGTCGCATTAAACGCCATGTATTTTGCAATATTTAAAGACGAATATTTTTCATATTATAGATTTTTCGATTACTTCACGACGACGCTTAAAGCGTCCACTTTCGTCGTACTTTGCCTTGGTGTGGCGTCGATTAGCATTAATTTGTATCGTGTGAGTGTTTGTACAAATATATTTATGTGTCCAATTAACGTTTCAATATGCAAATCTTCGTAGAAATAGTTCTTCGGTGATTCTCGACAAATCTGTATACAAATATTAAGAATAACTGTAACATTATTTGATCGAGCCGAGAGCATTTATTGCATCACGCTGTACAATAAAAATAAAATGTTTAGATCGCAATCGTGGAAATAAAGGGCAGAAACAGGAATGGCGTTGCTATATTCACAGTGTTCCTCTCTTGTCAATTCTACTACATGTTCCTAGGTAATTACGTAGGCCAGAAAATAATAGATCACAGCATGCATATTTTCAATGAAACGCAAGTATCATACAAATTTTGTATGTTAGTTCCCAACATAAAAATCTTAGAGATAATACAATCTTAACATATCGTTGACTGGTCACGAGAAAATTTGTATTCTGCTAGTCGGACATTGTCAGCTGATCCACGTGTTATCTCGCACTTTAGTTATAGTTTATGAAGGAATAGTCGAAAACAAAGACTTGACAATGTTAAAATTAGCCATTCAACAATATGTTAATATAGTACAATTTCAAAAATAACGAAATGTTAACATTATTCGGAATTTAAAGATAAATCTATCATTTCATCTTGTTTTGAAAACATTGGCGTTCCTTCTGTCGAATGAAAGCTCAACATTTTTTGTGCACGGTTTCAGATACGACATTCCATGGTATGAAGCCCCGGTGCAAACGCAGAAACTATTGTTATTTATAATGCAGAGAAGTATGCGGAGCTGTAAATTTGTATTAGGCGGAGTATATACCGTGTCGATGGAAGGTTTCGCAACGGTAAGGTCCGCGTTTACGCGACATCCATCGTATCAGGTATCCTCGTCGTAGTGGAATCTTTATGGCGAACGATACGAAACACTATATATATTTTTTCAGCTCTCGAGTATGTCAATGACTTATTTCACGGTATTGTGCTCTATACAATAATCGAATAGAGACGAATATTCATGGATAGTGACTGTACTGCAGAGTTGTAAACGTGCTATGTATGTGTGCAATAACTAATTATAACGAATTAATTACTATAATTTTTTTCATACTGTCCAATACATTATCGTTAATGTAAACGTAGGGATATAACAAAGAAAATTTGAATAGCTGCGAGAGAATATATATATCTGACATGGAATTAAAAAATGTATCGAATAGAATCTCAAATAGAAAATAGAATTATTCAGCTCATACCTTGTGCTATAATATGATGTGTGAAATATATAATTCACGTCCCAAAATAGAAACTGAAGGAAGCTTCGCAATAAAAACAACAGATATGCGCGAAAGGTAAAGTTGATAGTTGGCGACGCGATTGTTACAATTGTAAATTATAATTACTGTGTTCGTTTACGTTTGCCGAAACGAACATCTCACATTGTCATCGACGACTCCATCGAATGACCAGAGAAAATGAAACGCGTGCTGCCAGAGAAGATGTTGCCCTTATGACGATTCAAATGAGAATGAAACGTGCGTAGGCGGCATGGAGGTCCCTTCGCTACTGCGCTTGCGTCACTTGTAGCCCGGAGGGGATAAAAAATATCGCCTTTAGCCTCAATACATGCAATTTAAGCAAATTAGGGTGCAATCTCTTTTTTCTTCTCCTAAGTGTCACAGAGGGGAAAATATCTATATACCGTGCGTGTGAGCTAATGAAATTTTTCTGGGCAGAAGAATATAGGAATAGAAGGAGCGAGGGAAGCGTTTTAGTATTTTCGAGTAATAACTACAACGCGACTCTAACTGTGGGAAATAGGAGAAAGTCCGAATGCTTAATAAAATATGTGGGGAACGCTTAAAAGAATTCATTTAAAAGCGCGAGCAGATAAACGGATCTAGATCATCGAACGAACATGGAATTCGTTGGAGACCGTTACTACAATTTGAATCGTATGCTGCTACGCTCTATAGGTTTGTGGCCGTATCAGAATCCGAAAATGATGAAGTTTCAACGAGTCATTTCTACCGTCATTCTCGTCTCCTCTATCATTGTCCAGGTAAATCATTTTTATGCGCAATCAAACAGATTTATTATTTCGACAGAATAAAGCCACGAATCTCGGCCCCAATAGAATAATGTATTAAATAATACTGCAATATTAGCAAGATATTTTCTGGACGAAACAAACTGTTTTCAGTTATTGAAATTTGTCACGACCGAGTACAGCTTGGATCTTCTGCTCAAAGTTCTCTCGTTTACAACACCTTGCATGGTGTTCGTTTTAAAGTATATTTCCTTTTGCCTCGGTGCGGAATCAGTAAGTCCAGCTACATCATGGGATTTATGTTTCACATAGAGGGAATATGAAGAGTGTATTATTCGCGCGATACAGCGTTCCTTATTGTATCCACCGGATCAACCTATCCGCGTTTTATGCTGAATTAATTGAATTTCAAAACTCCTCAGGTGAGAAATCTCATGGAGAACGTCGTGAACGAATGGAATATTTTGAGAACCGAGGTCGAGCTCGAAATTATAAAGAAACAGTCCGATCTTGGACGATTTTATACGGTGTTCTTCACACGTGAGAAACGACTTTTCACTTGCTTTCCCCTTTTCGTGCTAATCTCCGTAATTTCCCGACGAGTTTCGTTCTGTACTCTCGTCTAATTGTACGGAATGAGTGTAGTTAATTGACTGTATTTGTGAGAAAAGAGATACGTGAAAATTATTATTTTGTCGTACTTTTAGTGGGCGTGTACTCCGCTTTGTTTGTTTATATGTTGGTTCAGTTAGCGCCAATCTTTCTCGACGTCGTAGCACCGCGAAACGTAACGCGATTGCGCAAAATACCGATCGCCGCGGAATACTTTGCCGATCAGCAGGAGTATTATCTGCTAATTCTATTACACATCAACATGGTAGCCTTCGTAGGATTCACCACCGTTATGTCCACCGAGTCTTTGTTCATAGCGTATATCCGACATGCTATAGGAATGTTCGAAATTGCCAGGTAAACGCTGAATTAAATCGGATCTTTTTCCTAAATTTTTAATTTCAATCATAAGAACGCTCGACTAAGTAAATGAAATGAACAATTAAATACGTTATGTATTTAATTTTAATAGTTTTTGATATATTTAATATAATGTATAAGTTTTTTTAATATAATTGTATTTTCATATTATACGACGAAAATGATCTTTTTTTTTGTCATTTAAAATAATGAATTTAATGGTAATTTAATAATTGAATTAGTATGCGGAAAAGAAAGAAATAATTTGAAAAATTAAAAATGTCAGTTTTGATTTGCGCGTAATAAAATGATAATGTTCGCTTCCCAGTTACAGAATAGAGCACGCTTTTGATGAAATATTGGGCATGAACGTGACGAGGAAATGTTGTTCGTACTGCACGAAAATAATAAACGCCGTGAGCATGCAGAGAAGAGCTATCATGTCGGTACATTTTAAAGAATACAACCGTTGAATAAACAAAGAATAAACCGTTGTACAACTTGCAGTTTCAAAGAATATTTCTTTCGTTCAAGATTCACCGAGTTTCTAAGGTCCAGCTTCGCTATTTCGTACGTTTTCCTGATCTCTTTAGGAGTGGTCTCCCTGTCTGTTAATATGTTGCGCGTAAGTGTGTCGTTTCGGGGTAACTTCGATAAGCTGCGTAAAACTAATTGACCTGGCGAGATTGTACACAGAGAAAATATTGTAGTGAAAATTATCACAAAATTTCGTGATGCTCGACCATATCGAAATTATGGGCTGGAATTATGACGTATCTTGTAATCTTTAGTAACGTGTTTTATTCTACACGTCACTAAAGATTACAACACACGTAATAATTTTAATCATAATTCTGGTATGGTTCAACATTACAAAATTTCGTAATAATTTTTACTACAATATTTTCTCCGTGTAGAGAGGTAACTTTTCTATTCGCTTACAGCTTTTCTTGGCTACGCAATATTTGAGCGATTTTGAGGAATTGATCATCGCCACGCTATTCGTCCTCGGTCATATCTATTACATATTTTTGGGTAATTACACTGGCCAGAAGCTGATAGACTACAGCATGGGTATGTTCTACAAAATGTGAGCATTTTATAAAACGATCTACGTAAACATTTCCATTCCGCAACATTTGTTTGTCAAGTTCAATTTCGAATAGACGACACGCACTTTAACACGTTGAATGCCGCGACACCGGTAATCGACATTATGACACTACTATGCATTAATAAGTTACGCGTAAAGCACAATTGATAGCATTTGAAAAATCGATTGCACGGCAAATAGAGAGCTAATGAAACGAGATATCAATGATACACGCGTTTCAAATTGCATTTATGTGTTGCACAGCGATACTTGTGGTTATTCAATTACCGGTGAAGCCTTTGGACCATAAACGGAAATCAAAGCGGCAGTCGACGTGTTGAAAAAATTGCACAGGAATGTCGAATTTTTAAGAAGTGCATAGAAGAAAAAGTGCTGGATTCAAGTAAATGTTACTCCAATATACCTTGGCAAATTTTGGATTAAATAAATTTTAAATAAATTTACTCGGTACAAGTAAATATGTTACTCGAATATGGAAAAAGTGCTACATTTAAGTGATATTTACTTAAGTAAAAATTTACTAAAAAATATTGGAGTAATTGTTTCTTTGAATCTAACACTTCTTTTCTGTATTAACGCATCGTGACACGACTACTCTTCAGAAATAATGTTTTAAAAATTGCAAAGAGAGTGCATATCGAAGAGAGAATGTAGAAAATAGCTTCTTTTCACATGCGATTATACGTAAATATCGTAAATTAGGCGATAAATATCTCATTGGTGTGAACATGCTTATAGATACGAGTCACAATGGTATGTCGCTCCGTTACACGCGCAGAAATTGTTGCTATTCATGATGCAAAGGAGCATCAAAAGTATCTCCATTCGTTTGGGAGGTATTTTCGTTCCTTCATTGGAAGGTTTCGCGACGGTAAGTAAAACCGCTCCTACTCGAAATTTAATGTTTCGTTCTCATCTCTCTTCTTCTCCGTTTTTTCTTTATGTGTCTGTGATAAGTTTCTCATTTCAGATTACCAGCATGTCACTTTCGTACTTCACGGTAATTCGTGCCGTTCAATAATAACGTCGGGCGTTGCGAGTATAAAGTTTTAATCGCACTCGACAATGTGCACTCGCACTCAATGTAAAGAACGCGAAGCACGTTCGATTGCGAATCAACGATGAATGATTGAACTTTAATAAATCACACCAATCTGCAAATGTTAATGAGAATTGACTAAACGTATTTTCAGTAAACATTCTGTCGTTGATCCACTCTGTTTTTTTTTTTGTCGTTTTTCTCTTTTTGTTGCTAACTACGACGAGCGGGGATTAATTAACTCTGGGAATAACACCCGTGATTTTGAAATAACATCGTAGCTCTTTCAAGCCTGCATGACGAAAAATTTTTTGAACATCGCGACTAGAGGTAATAAATATTTTCTTAAATCTGTGGCTTTTCACGAAAACAATAATTTATTCTACATTTAAATAAAAGAATTTAGATTTAAATAAATATGTTATTAGCACCCATGGTGACTTTTCTTTATAGCTGAACATTAATTCAAAACATTTACACGCACATCGAAGCGTGTGAAGTGTACGTGCGAGATTCTCACGCTTCGATGTGCGTAAATTTGTTAAACTAGTGCAACCAGTTCGGCTATAAAAAAGTAGATCATTTATCCGTGCGCTTGCACGACACGTTCTCTCGTATAACGGTAATATATTGCGATGAGGTTAAGTTAGTATCTAACGGAAAAGACGCAAAACGTACTTGGGGATCAGGATTTCCCTCCGTGACCGATGAGAGGGAACCGTCCTGCGCGAGGAATCGGGGCGAACTGAGACGCATGAGCACATTCGCGCTTGCGCGCAGCGGAAACCAGGGTAATACGGTCGTTTGTCGCGAAAGAACGAAGCGTCATTTCGATATTTTGCACTCTTTTTCTCCCTCTGCCCGAAAAATTATCCATTCACGGCCATTACCGGCCGTTATTTCGATGCATTATCGTACGGCAAAACTTTCCGAAGAAGTCATAAGGTGCGGGTGAAAAAGAGAAAAATATCCGCAGCGGAAGAACGCGAAGAATATCTCGCTCACGGGAAAGAGGTGTGCAGTCGTATTTTCGCCGGCGCTCAAGATGGAGTTCAGCGGAGAACGATATTATAAAATCAACAAGATTCTTCTCAACGGCCTCGGACTGTGGCCACATCGGGAGGGGAAACGTGCGCGAATTAAGCCGATACTCATTGACGCGACACTCTTCTACGCTATATTCGCTCAGGTATCCCGTCTTCGACGAGCGGTGTTCGTGAGATAACGTTGAACAGATGTACGCTCGAATCAATAGAATTATCGTTTACAGCTGTGCCCGTTGATCAGTACGGAATACGATGTAAACCTGCTTCTTAAGGTCCTCTCGAATATCCTGCCTGCTCTCATCTTCACCATAAATTACAATGCTTATTACATTCTAGCCACGAAGGTGAGTCGCACTTTCACGTTTGATTTCGTCCTCTCGAATATACCGAAGCTCTCGTCCCCGATGGCGTAATAATTCCTTACGTTCATAATCACCGCTCTGTCCGCCGGCAAAAGGGAGAACGAAGAAAAGTTTGGCTCTTCTTAATAATTAATCTTACGTACACAGATCCAGTTATTGATGGAGCTAGTGCGAAAAGATTGGAACGCGTTGGACGACAAGAGAGAGATCGAGATAAAGGACAAACACGCTCGCATAATGCACACTTGCACGATCGCTTTTATATGTAAGACAAAGAGAGACGTTTACTGCGCGGGAGTGTCTTTTAATGCGTAGAATTGCTACGCGAGAGAATTATACGAGGTATGAATTCGACGTTTTACAGTGGCCGTCTGTATCGGCAATCCACCCTTCGACTTTATGGAAGCCTCGCCCCTTATACTCGATTGGCTCGTACCGCTTAACGAGTCTCGACCGCGTCATTTATACATGTTAACTGAATATTTCGTCGATCCTGAAAGGTATTTCCCTCTCATACTGATACACGAGATTATAACCGTCCTGATCGGGTTTTTCGTTATTGCGTCTACCGGAGCGATAACTCTCGTTTACGTGGAGCACTTTTGCGCGATGATGAAGATCGTCAGGTAAGAAAATCCACCGTGATCGAATTGTCGAATTTAGCTGATTGCACAACTAAGCAAGAGGTATCGCAGCTTTCGTATAGAACAGACGTTAGGAAAGAATGTGCTGCAAAAATCCACTGCGCAGGCCGAGCGAATAATATGCAGCAGGATAAGTCATGCTGTAGATTTGCATCAAAAAACCCTCAAGTGCGTATCACGTTTTTAAGTCATGAGGGAACAGTAAGTACAGCCGTCTCTTAGGCAACAATGGATATTGCGACTCGAATTCTTCCGCAGCAGCAAGTTAGGCTTAGGCAAATTCGCGATCCGTCCATCGTTCCGCGTATTACATTTAATATCTGCTTATCAACTACAAAGATACGTCTTGTAATGTTATACGTCGAGATTTTTCACTGGTTTTACACAAATTTGACGGAATTTGCACTATTAATGTAGAATTAAAATTTCGACTCGGATTAAAATGCAAAAAGATTATATGGATATTATAAAATTATCTAGTTCTATATGGATATTATAAAATTGTCCAGTATTAAAATAGCGAGATTATTCACACTTCTCTCTTTTGAAGGTTCTTCGATTTCTTTCTGTCAATTTTTGCAACGCCATTTTGTATTATAACTATACTTGGTGTTGTTTCCATTAGCATTAATTTATGTCTGGTAAGTGTGAGAACATATTGAAGTTTGGATACACGCTAAGCGATGGAAAATTACATCAAAGCATAACGTTGCAGCTGCTTCAACTGTTGAATATGAAGAACTTACCAGACTTACTAGCAATGTTCGTAATTTTAATCATTGAAATTTGTTATATGTTTATAGCGAATTATATGGGACAAATAATAATCGATCACAGCGAGGACGTTCATAATACAACGTGAGTACATCACAACAACTCAATCGTAATATATTTATGTACGAAATTTCAGTGAATAGCAAAAATCTGAGACTTAAAAACATAAACATGCGAAAGTAGAAATATGAATCCCGAGGCAGTTACGCTTAAGTAGAGATATCGATATCACATAATCGCCGGTGATTACATTATTATAAAAATAGATATAAATATCGGAGGGAGAGAAGGTATCAGTTAATTAAGCGGGTGAACTTTATGTATAATCAAATATATGAGATTATTCGTATTACATTCACGCAATAAACATCGATTGAAACATTGCAGATGCAACATTTTGTGGTATAACGCTCCGTTAAAATCGCCAAAGTTGCTACTATTTCTAATGCATAGAACGATAAAACAAGTGAAGCCAGTTGTCGGTAAGCTGTTTGTGGCGTCGTTGGAAGGTTTCGCCACGGTAACGCACACAGCATTAGTCGAAAACGGGGCTTGTAAATCACTTCGAATACGAAAATTTATTGTCGGCACCTAAATCTCCATTGAGACCTCAGCTTTCGCATAATTTTCCATATTTCACGATTTGCGCGCCATGATATTGTCAAGCCCTATTATCCTGTCGATATTATTTCAGCTGTCCACTACGTCGCTATCTTACTTCACAATAATTTATTCTCTCCAATAGCGATAACATATCGTGCTGACACTTCTATTTATGATCATCGTGCGAGAGGAGTTTCGAACACTAGTAGTAATTCATCGAGGACCATCGTAGATACGAAATCGTCAGACATATTATAACTTATTGACATTTTTAATAAATAGACATAATTGTTCGCAGCATCTCGAGAATTATCTTTTCATTGAGCTTTTTACCAGCGACTTCTCATAAAAACCGCGTGCACAGCATCGTTCTATAGAACATTGGTTCGCCCGT